CTGGGATCGCTTCTCTTGTCCGTACGACCGGCGAATGGCCTGTGCACTTGCAAAGCCCAGGCGGGCCGAGCGACCAGGCGCCCCGCTCGAACCGAGGGCGATTCGCAGAGGGGTCTCCAAAGAATGCCTTCGGACACTGTCAACCCGCACGCCGAAAAAAAGGTAAAGGTACCCATGCCGCTATCCTGCCCTTTGTTTCCCATTGTTGGGCCTCCTTGGAGGCCCTCATCGCCACAGCTGGGCTCGCCTCGAAAATCTGGTCAGAACGCACCCCGGGAGAGGTCCAGGGAGCAGCGGTATCGGTACCTCTTGGTTTCCCCACCAAGGTTAGGTCGGGCGTGTCCACCTACAGGCGGAATGTTGACGAAAATAAAAAGCATAAAATACTCCCGAATGGAAGGAATACTAGGATGATCGTCCCCAGACTATGTTTTAAAATATTTTTGAATATTCCTCCTGTAGAGGGACATGCCCGATTTAACACCAAGGGGCCCCTTTGGCTTCGAAAGCTTCGGGCCGCTGCCGCCTCGGCCGCCGATCGTTCGGGGATCACCTGAATCATTGTACCGACCCTGCAGAGGTGATGCAGCGGATTTCTGCGTGGATTTCTGCCACTGCATAATCCCGAAAAAGGCAAATCAGTAACAAAGTGAATTCCACGTGGATGTTTTATAATCTTCATTCCTGGCCCCCAAAAAACGTACGAAATTCACCTCAACATCCGGAACGGGATTCTCCAGGCCACTCCGGACCCATCCCATCGTTTTTCGAACATGGCGATGCGGGCGGCATAACATCCGAGCTGCGGGCCCTGCGGCCGTCACCTGTGGGCCCCCTTCTGGGCTCCCTGCGTGCCCCCGCGGGCCACCCCCGCCCCTTGTTCGGGTGCCCACGACGCACCCTTCACAAAAGGGGAGGAAGATGGCGAGGAGCAGGAGACGGAGGAGAAACAAAAAACAGGAGGAAGAGGAGAAAAGGAGTCGGAGGGGGAGGAAGAGGAGAAAGAGGGGGCGGAGAAGAATAATAATAACAAGAAGAAGAGGAGGAGGACGAAGAGGAGGAGGGGAGGAAGAAGGGGAGGAGGAGGAGGAGGAGGAGGAGGAGGAGGAGGAGGAGGAGGAGGAAAAGGACAGGACAAGGACATCTGCAGAAGGGGGCAACGTCGGAACACCTACTCGGGTGATCTACGCGCTATTGCCAAAATCCCGTGCGACTTATTGTGCGACAGCCCTGTTTTCTCACTGGGGCCGGCAGAGGGCGTACCCCGTAGCTCAAGGACCGAGCTACATCGCGAGTCCCATCGGGCTGGTGCGGGGGGAGCAGCTGACGGTCTTTCCGCGAGCCCTACGGGAGGGGGCGCGCGGGCCTAGCAGGGCGACCAAGCCAAGGGGGGAGGAGACGAGGACACGACCTCAAAAGGAAGAGAGGGGGGGGGAGACTGAAGGCCCGAGACTCCAAACTGTTGCTGGGGGGGCTCCTACCTCTACTATTGGACTTCCGTGCTCCCCTCTCCCACTCAGCTCACTTCTCGGTCGTTCCGAGAGGTGCTCCATGTGTTGTCACATCTGTACTCTGGTACCCTGTGAGGTAGCCCAAGGTTCCCCCTCGGAGCGTGCGAGGTAAAACATACTGGAAGTCACGGTCATAGGTCGGGCCGATGAGGGGCACGCTGGTGGGCATGTTGATGATCACTTCTTCCCCGTCCAAACCCTGCAGTTGTGTACCTGATGGTACACCAAAAGATGCTTCCCATTGCGATGGCGGTGCAGGCGTACTAGTGTGCCCATGTTGTCAGTCGTGAATTGCACCCCGAGAAACCTCGCTAATGCTCCTCCTGACTGCCTGTGGGCACGGCCAGCTCGCTCCTTGCCTCGCCTAGATCAGCACTCCGAGGATGCTCGCTAATGCTTCCTCGTGGCAACCTGCACGCTCCAGTGGGTGCACTCACTGGTGGCCGCTTGGGCTGGCCGCCGCCGTGTACTCCGACTGGCGGCAGCCGAACTTCTCTGCGAAGATCCCGGTACCATCCAGCATGGTATGGGCGCTCTCTTTTAGCACCTGGCGCTCCTTCAGCCCCTTCACTTCCTCTGGGTCCATGATGTCCTCGTTCTTCATCCCCCCGGTGGAAACTTTCACTGCCTCGCGGAGGTTCTCTTCATCGTTCTCCGCAATCTTCAGCGCTGGCTCGCACCATCTCTGCACAGTGAAGGCCCTCTTCCCTGACCTCCCCCATCGGTCCACTGGGCGCCTTGCGACGAGGTCGCAGCCTTCGATCTTGCGCGTCATCGGGAAGGACGGCGGGGGCACATCGACTCGCCCCTCTGGTATCATTTCCTCGGCCGCGTGAAAGAACTCGCAGCGGCGCTCCTTCATGGCGTCGTCGAGTTGCAGCGCCAGCCTGTCCGCAGTGAGAGCTTGCCGCGCGGTTCCCATTTTGAGCTCCACCATCGTCGATGGTTCGCTCATGAACGGGAAAAACTTGCACCCGCGCCCGATCCTTGGCCATTTCGCAGTTTGGCCCGAACTTTCTCTTCATCTTGTTCACCCATTCCGCCGAGAGCATGTTCTGCGGGTGGTTCTCCTGCGCCCTCGCCAGCTGGGACCAGTCAACCTTGCGCCAGAACTGCCACTTGTCGCTCTGCGAGTGGGGACTGGGGCCTCTCCACCAGAGCTCGCTCGGGAAAGCGAGCCCGCGCGAGCGAGCTCCCCCCTCTCATCGCCCCATGCAGCGCCCCTCCTGCATGCGTTGAACAGCTGCATGTTGTCGCTCCACATATCCGCGAAGTCCAGCGCTCCGAGATGCTCTGGCTGCTGGTCGCCCCTGTCCTTCGCCGTCGTGTGGTCGCCCAGCTCGTGCATGCTTCCTTCTTCCTCTCCCAACTCTTGTTTTGCCACCGCCAGCGCTTCTTCGTCATTTGCACCCATGGCCATGTACTGTTCGAGCAAGATGTCATGTTCCAGCGAAGAGCCTCCGTCATTCCCGTTCCTGCTTTGCTGATCAGTCAACTTTATACCAACCAGCAGCGCACTTGCCAGCTCCTTTGGCTTCTGCGTAGCGATATGGTTTCTGCGCGTGCGAGATTTCTGTTCGGCCCCCTTCTTCTGCCAACTGTACTTGGGCAGCTTTGACGTGTCCGAGTGCCCGGGCTGCCCACATTGCCCCTTTCGCCTTCCTCTTCTGTTCTCGGCAGACCTGCTCTCTCGTAATAAAATTGCCCCCCCCCCATGCGGCGCCCTATCTTCGTCGCCCAGGTCCTCCCGCTCCTTCTCCCTCGGCTCCAGCTCGCAATCGATGCGCACTCTTTTCTATGCGCTGCCCTTGCCACCTTTATCATTTTCGTGGCCTGGCTCGTTTCTCGCGTGCTCACTGCGGCTTTCGATCACAATGTAGCACTTGTACCCCTTGCCGCAGCGCCCACAGGGCCATAGTTGGCTGCTGGTCGCGAAGGCCATGGCCCACGCGTGCAGCGGAATCAGAGAAACCTCGCCAATGCGCCACGCTGCTCGCCTAGGCCAGCGCTGAGCCAGATCAGCAGCGGCAGCCGAGGATGAGCGATGGAAACAATTGCGTTCTCCCAATGGCCCAAACTGCCCCACTATGCATGAAGCACCCCTGACATGCTGGCCCCATCTCCCCCCGCTGAGATAGCATTGATCCCCCGCTGCCCCGCGCCCTCGTAGTGCGTTGTACTCCGCGCCCATGTCCTCCAATCGGCCGTGAACCGTCTACATTGTGAGCATGGTGTACTGTGTGCGCAATACCCCGCTCACCATCCCACCGTATCTGTAATGGACAAAGGGAGGGAGAAACGAAACGTGTGCCTTTGTAGATGATGTTTCCTGCTGGCTGGGTTGGGTAGGCTGGGCGTTGCCAGGCAGGCCTTTCCCCAGAGCGTTCCTCTGGAATTCAGTTCCCGCTTCTGCTCGGAACTTCAGGGCATGTCGTATATTCTACCATTCGGGGCAGATCGCCAGTGTTTGGTGAGGCGGTCAACGTCCACGCTGATAGATTATGGTATTCTTTCATCAGCCGAAAGGTCTCTCTTCCTATTCTGAGCGCTGTTGGGCACTTCAGCTCTGCCCGGTTGCCCCAGGTGGGGCTCTCCTGAAGCGCCCCCCTCATTGCGCGTTGTTGTCGCCGACGTTGGTGCGCGTGCGCTGTCCGCGTCATCCGCCGCCTGGCACTCTGCCCCGGGTTCTTTCCACTCACAAGAAAACCTCGCACACGCAACCACCCGTTCGGATATCAGTGGCGCAGCACTCCGAGAAAACCTCGCCAATGCCACCGCCTCCTCCGTACTCAGCGAAGCCGACGCTGTAGTTCACGCTCCGCCACCCTCTCCAGCTCCGACTTGGGCGTCACCGCCTGGGACTTCTTGCCTGCCAAAACGACCGGCGCCCCCGTCGCCATCCTCGGATTGCGGCCTGCGAACTGGTCCAGCTGCGCCATGGTGTCTCCAGCTGCGCCATGGTGTCTCCCACGTTTTGTTCGGGAGCACCGCTCCGAAGTTGGGGGGCTCGTTGATGCCGGTCTGGATCTTGCCCGAGCCCTCCTCCCAGAACTCCTCGTCATCGTTCGGTTTCCTGTTCTTGCTGTTGCGCGCCATGTAGCTCTCGCTGACCTTGCGCATCTTGATCGCCTCTGTGACCATTGCCTGGCTGTGCCCGCTGTTGTCCTCCATCAACTTCCGGAGACCGCTCAGTGTGTCCATAGCTCTGTATATTGATACTGGTACTGTCGTTTCATCTTCCTTCTGCCATTCCGACTCCATCGCCTCTATGCCTTCCATGAGTGCCATTCTCGCGCGAATTCCTGGCGGCCCCATCTTGCGCACCTTGCCCTTGACCCGGCCCCCGTGGCTCTGCCCCGCTGCCAGCGACTTCTCACACTCAAAATTGCTGACTGGCACGAAGCAGCAATCCGATGCCATGTGGCTCATATCTCTGATCCCAGTCGCACCATCACTTGGCCAGCTCCTCTCCGCCCTCCATATTCTCAG